AGATCCGCCTGCCTCTGCCTCCCCGAGTGCTGGGATTAAAGGCGTGCGCCACCACTGCCCGGCTGAGATGTAACTTTCTATACATGTGTATAGAAGAAATTTGAGATACACGAAGATGTTAATAGTATATGTTTTGAATAATATAATTTGGAATTTGGGGGGTACTCTTGTGTTTTATGAGTAGTATCCCTCTTTATTTCCCCCCCAAGATGGTCCTTTATTTCCTTCTCCTTCCCTTCTTCCCTTTTTTCTCTACTCTGCCTTTCTTGTTTCCTTACTTCTAATATTGTCACGTGGCTTAAATTTGAAAAGAGACAAGAGAGCAATAGAAATTTTCTCCCTAGGCCTGTCACCTAACTCTGTTCTAAAAGCAACAAGAGACACCGTTTCTTTGTCCATCCTTCCAGAAACGCGTCATGGCCAACAGCATGGCTACATCAAACAGTTGAAGAATGTTTTTCTCGTTTATTTTGTATTGAAAGTTCTTTCTCATTCTGAGCCAACTACTACAGTTTCTTTAAATGGTTTTGAATATCGCCTGTAATCCCAGCTACTTGGGAGGGTGAAGCAGGAAGATCACTTGAGCCCAAGAGTTCAAAGTCAAATGGGTAACATGGTGACATTCCTATGACTTGGCAGGAAGATAAGGTTGCGATTATACATATAGAAGTATTCATTTTCTCTATAAAATCTTAGCTTCTGGTTCTAGTAATCTTTTTAAGGTTCTGAGGTAATCTTACTTTATTAATTCTATTCCAAAGTTGGCTCATACTTCAGTTATGTCTGTCTTTTTTTCAGGGAAAATCCTGCTATTTTTATCATGGTGTCCATAAAATTAGTAATCAGCAGACATTGCAGTCTCTTCAGGGGATGTCCAAAGCCTGGGACATAGAAGAGCTTGTCAGCCTCGGGAGGAAACTGAAGGCATGTCCCTACTACACAGCTCGGGAGCTGATAGATGATGCTGACATAATCTTTTGTCCCTACAACTACCTCTTGGACGCACAAATAAGGGAAAGTGTGAGTACATATGAAATTAGAGCTCTCCCCACTTAGGAGATAGAAGTGATGAATGTAAAAGCTTTTAAGATGTTTTTTGTCTATTTTCCTCTGTATTGAATTGATGGAAACAGAGCACTGAAAACATGTCCTAAGGTGAATTAAGAGGTGACTTCTAAACCCAGTTATTTTAATTTCCAAAGTGATAAACAGTTACGGCTCTAACTGAACTGGAACTCTAGTGTGTCCCTCAGACTTGATGAGTCACTTGGCTGGGATGGGCTGCCTGTGATGCTTTGTGGTGTCCCCGGTTCTATCTCTGAGATGCCAATAGAACCCTGACAGTCATCACTGTCAGAGACATCGCTAGACATTGCCAAATGTCCAAATTTCCCCGGGGGAGTAAAATTGTCCCCATTGAAGACCATTACATAACCATTGTTCTCTTCATTCATGGGGTTAAGAATTATTTAAAAACTTTTCTCTGGGGAGAAAAAAATAACTGTTTTGAAGAGGTTACGTTAAGAGAATATGTACCAGGAAAGTTGTGCTTTGGGAATTTTTCAGTAGTGAACTTTACATTTTATTTGTTTGCCTGGTTCTTATAGAGATTATAGTTGCTATAGTAAGACAAAGGGTAAACAATTGGGCGTAGCCAGTTACTGCTCTCTTTAGGTGTGACTGTACAGTTCATGTTAGCGTTCTGTTTCTTTCTGGGTTTGTTGTTGTTGAGACAGCGTTCTGTGTAGCCCAGATCAGTCTTGAACGTGTTACAGAGCTGAGGATGACTTTGAGCTTCTGGTCCTCCTGCCTCTCCTGCCCACGTGTCAGGAGTTCAGGTGCAGGCCACCGTAGCCAGCGTTTGTGGTGCTAGGAGTCAGACCCAGGGCTTCATGCATGCCAGGCAAGCGCTCTGCCAACTGAGTCATAGCTCCAGCTCCAGCTTTTTAAGTTCAAAATTAATAGGCATTTACACTTTCATATATTTTATTTCATGTGTATGAGTGTTTGCCAGAATGTAGCATATGTGTGAGGTGACCACAGAAGCCAAAAGAGGGTATTGGATCACCCATAAACTGAAGTTACAGTTTTGAGCCCTCATGTGGGTGTTGAGAATTGAACCCAGGTCCTCTGGAGGAGCAGCGAGTGCCCTTAGCCACTGAACCATCTCTCCAGCCTCAATAAGGCATTTTATTTACTACTGACCCACTGCTCTCTGCTGCTGTACCGTTTGTTGGTTAGCTCTGAATTAGGCACCAGATACAACAGTGTTAATGAGGGTAGCCTTCATAATGTTACTTTCCTTCTGTCATCCTCCTACTTGAAAAGGTATTTCTCCCTTTGTTCTGGGTGGAGTTCCATGTTCAAGATGCTCAGTAGTCTGACATAGAACTGCCCTTTCAGCCTTTACTAAAACTCCCGAGTGGAACCCTTGAGTACACCTTAGAACTGCTTAGGGATTCCTGTGTTTCTGTTTAGATGACACCTGCTGAAATGCTCTGCCTTGCTCCTGTCCTCCTCGGAATCCCTGCCTTTTAACCTCAAGCTATTTCTCCTCCATATTTCTTTTTCAGTCACTTCCAGACTTGTGCATGTTATTACTTTCTCAAAATAATTTATTGGAGGTTACTTTAATAAAATCCCCTTGTTTCACTACTCAGGATTTTCAATCGCAAGTTACACAAACCTAACTTGAGAAGAGCTTAAACAGAAATAGTGGGCTTTCTCTTCATTATGATGGCTTCGTTCTTAGGAAGTCCTGTTCTTGCGGGACCCAAGAAAACCACAAGCAGTTAGCTAGTCTGGAGGAAAGAACATGAGCGTGCATGCATCCCTCCAGTTACTCTGTTTGGCCCAGCTTGGGTGGCATATCCATTCCTAAATCTGACCCAGTTTCTAACCACAGAACTTTGGAATACTTTAACTGATGAGCCTGGTTCTGAGCTTTATTTTACCCTTACTGTGAGAGACAAGATGTCACTTGATCTGCAGATTAGTAGTCTCACCAGCGTCACACTGGAGAAGAGCAGTGTTCAAGATAAAGGGTCATAGGTCAGGTACAACGGAGATGGACATATACTGTGCTACTTCATGTTAGTTCTTTAGGAATCATTGAATCTGCATTCTTGTTTCCCTTCTAAAGGTTTTCTGCTCAGGGGTAGGGACGCAGCTCATTTGTTCGAGTGCTTGTATAGCAAGCCTGAAGCCCCGTGCTTAGCCACAGCACCATACACACACACACACACACACACACACACACACACACACACACACACACACACACGCGCGCGAGAGTGTTTGGTAGTCAGTGTTAAAATGCTTCTTTACTGTATAATTGTATACCTCTATAGCCAGTGGTACCTTCATCCATGCTCAGTTGATAGGCACATGCTCATTGAGAGGTTGGTTGCCAAGTGTTCTCAGCATGAAAATGGTGAGCTCTCTGGTATAGAACTGGTATCTGGTAGAGATTAGTGCTTCTGAAGTTGTTTTAAGGCTTGGGTATCAGTTCTTTAATGTAACTTGCACAAGCAATATTGGCCTACATTGTGAATTTTCAAATGAAATCTTTTGCCTGCTGCTGTTAAATTCATTTTGCCAAATGTTTTAATAGAAAATTATTTTATCTTACAGATGGATATAAAGCTGAAGGAGCAAGTTATCATTTTAGATGAAGCGCATAACATTGAAGAGTGTGCTCGGGAATCGGCAAGCTACAGTGTAACAGAAGTTCAGCTTAGGTTTGCACGGGATGAGCTAGATAGTTTGGTCAACAGTAATGTAAGGAAGAAAAGCCATGAGCCCCTACGAGATGTGTGCTATAACCTCATTAAGTAAGAATTGTTGTCTGTCAGTGTAATTGTTTGTCTTTCTGTGTTACATCAGGGTGTTTTCAAGATAGTAAACTTAGGGACTAAGATGACTCAGTGGTTGAGAGTGTTTGCTCTTCTTGCCCAACACCCACATCTGACAGCTCACAATCACCTATGATTCCAACTCCAGGGGATCTAATACCTTCTTCTGGTTTCCTTGGGCACCTGCACACAGGTGGCATACATTCACACAGATACATATACATATACAAGTGTAAGTTAGTAAACTTTGACTAACCAGGCTATTTGGGAAATGGGTTGTTGTTCACCAGTTTAACTTTTTTTTTTAAAGCTAGTCATACTTTCTGTCTTATTCAAAAGTCTAATGAAAGTAATGACTTCTAAAAGTTAATAATTTCAAGAACTCAATTTCTTTTTTTTCTTATTTATTTATTTATTTATTTATTTATTTATTTATTTATTTATTTATTTATTTATTATGTATATAGTGTTCTATCTGCATGTATCCCTGCAGGCCAGAAGAGAACACCAGATCTCATTACAGATGGTTGTGAGCCACCATGTGGTTGCTGGAAATTGAACTCAGGACCTTTGGAAGAGCAAGCAATGCTCTTAACCTCTGAGCCATCTCTCCAGCCCCAAGAACTCATTTTCAATCCAGTAGAATAATTAAATAACAGAAATTAAGAATTTTAAGTTCAGGCTAGAGAGATGGCTCAGCAGTTAAGAGCACTTAACCGGAGTTCAATTCCCAGCACCCACATGGCAGCTCACAGCCATCTGTAACTCCAGTTTTTTCACACTGACACACATTCAGGTAAAATACCAATGCATATAAAAATGAGTAAAATCTTAAAAAGAAAGAAAAGGAAGTTTTAAAAATTTAAATTCTGGATCAGAGTCTTTTGTTTTAGATTTATTTTCTTATTGCATGTGTATGAGTGTTTTGGTCGCATGAATTATGTAAGTGCACCACATGAGTGCCCACTCAGGTCAGAAGAGGTTATTAGATTCCCTGGGATTAGAGTTATAGACAGTTGTGAACCACCATGTGGGTGCTGGGAATCAAACCCAGGCAAGAATAGTGTCCTCGTTAGGGTTTCTGTTGCTGTAGTGACATATTATGACCAAAAAGCAAGTTGGGGAGAAAAAGGTTGATTTGGCTTACACTTCCACAATATAGTCATCACTGAAGGAAGCCAGGACAGGAATTCAAACAGCAGAAACATGGAGACAGGAGCTGATGCAGAGGGTATGGGGGAGGGGGCTTCTTACTGGCTTGCTCAGTCTGCATTCTTACAGAACCCAGGACCACCAGCCCAAACATGGTACTACCACAATGGGCGGGGCCCTCCCCCATCAATCACTAAGAAAATGCTCTACAGGCTTGCCTGCAGCCTGATCTTATGGAGGCATTTTCTCAATTGGGGTTCCTTCCTCTCAGATGACGCTAGCCTGTGTCAAGTTGACATAAAACCAACCATCACAAGCAGCAAGTGCTCTTAACTGCTGTGCCAACTCTCTGGTGCTTCCTGGCTTTCTTTATTACATCATCCTCCAATCCAAGTCTGATTCTAGCTTGGTGGGTTTTAATTAATGGGGAGATTTCAGTACTTTACAAAATAGATTTAGTACAGATTTTACTAAAAATTACATTAATTTCTCTCTCCTACTTTATTCTAGAATCATGTTATCTTAAAAGTTTTCTGACTACATCTCATTGCATGCTTTGTGACATTTTCTGTTTTCCTCATTGTATACATTGAAAAATTTAAGTGTACAGTCACATTGTTTGAACACACTCTACACATATTTAGTAAAAACTACCTTTCATCCAACCCCTTATTTGTTTAGTCCTTGTTCTCCTAAACAAGGTTGTTCAGGGAGGGCGTGTGTGTGTGTGTGTGTGTGTGTGTGTGTGTGTGTGTGTGTGTGTGTGTATGAGTCAATATAGATAAACTCTCTTGGTTCTCATTTTTTCCCAAATGATGGCATACTATACATAGTATTTATTGCATTTGACTTTTCATTTGACAGTGTATTTTGTTTGACCTTGGTAATAAAAAAGTGACATCCCAGAGTAGTTTTCAATGACATCTCTCTCAATATGAAAGAAATGAAACATCCTTAAGGGCAGTTTGTAGGTTCCTTTTGTTATTAACTACTTATTAACATTTTTCTTGATCTTGTTGCTATGATTCTCTCGTTGGTATATAGAAGCTCATCGTATAATGGGGAATCAACCTTCTGCATACAGTAAGAATTGAAGAGCCCTTGATCTCTACCCACTTTTGTCTACACACACACACACACACACACACACACACACACACACACACTATAATATATATATATATATATATATATATATATATATATATATATATATATATAATGTACTGATTTCTCTGTGGTATGTGTATTGGGGGCACATGTGGCGGTCAGAGGGATAACTTTGAAGAGTTGGTTCTGTTCCTCCAAATGTACATGGGTTCCAGGCATAGAACTCGATCACTGTGTTTTCATTATCAGGTGACAAGCACTTGGTCTTGCTTGTTCTGTTCAGAGTATCTTTTTCCAGGTAGAATTTTGTCATTTTTTTATTTCACAACATAATTTGTAGTCCACAGTTGAGTCTCTTTTTTCATTTTACGTTCTTCATCCATCCTGCTGTTGTTGTTTTTGTCAAGGACACAAGTGATCTGCCACCAAATCCAGTGGCTTTTCTGTTATCTTAACATCTCAGTAAGGTTGGATGTCATTGATGAACAGCCTCTTGAAAAGCATTTTAAAATCTTTATTATTAGTGTTTTTGTGTTTGGTATATATGTATGCATATAAGTGTGTGCGCACTGTAGTGTGTATGGGGAAATCAGAGGACAACTTTTGGGAGTTAGTTTTCTCATTTTACTGTGGGTTTTGCAGGTCAAACTCAAGTCATTAGGCTTTCATGGCAAATGCTTTATTTATTTATTCATTCATTTTTAATTAAAAATGTAATTAGTGTGTGTGTTTGTGTGAGCACTCATGGCAGTATATATAACTAGGCTCAAAGGACAACTTGTAGGAGTCAGTTCTCTCCACCGTGTGAGCTTCAGGGATTGAACTCAGGTCACCAACTTTGATAGCAAACACCTTTACCCATTAACCATCTTTCCATCCCTGAAAAGCATTTTTGCCTTAGCTTCTATGAGGTTTCTGGTTTTCTTCTTACATTCTTCCTTAGTGTTGTTTGATGTCTAAATGATGAAATGCCTGAGGACCTGGTCCTGGGGCCTGATTTCTTTTCTAGCTCTCTATTCGGCTCAATTATGTAACCTAGAAATGTAGCCCAGAGTAGGGCTTCTTAAAGTTTTTCCACTCATGACCCTTTTTTGTCTAATAAACCATAAAGAAATACTTTAAAACATTTCTTTGGTATTCTTATAATTTTACTAATTTGTAAAGACAAAAGCAAATTTCTATGCTAATAAGGTGTATGTGTTTGTTTTTACATTAAAAGTTAAAGGTTGGCTAAATATTTGATAATGTAAGACATAAAACATCTTCAACTTTTAAAAATTATTTCATTTTGTGTGTGTGTGTGTGTGTGTGTGTGTGTGTGTGTGTGTGTGTGTGTGCGCGCGCGCGCGCGCGCCCCTGTAGATCAGAGGACAGTTTTCAGGAGTCTGTTCTCTCCTTCCACCTTGTAGGTTCTGGGAATTGAACTCTTGTCGTTGGGTGTGGCGGCAGCTAAGCCATCCAACTGGCCCATCTTCAGCATTTTTCAGAATTGACTTATAGTTTGATTTATAGTCATCTGTGCCAAGAACACCGCTTCACATTTATATGTAGCACTGGATATCCAGTTCCTCAGTTCCTTCCAGTTCTTCAAATGGCAGAGTATATTTAACAGCATTTCTAAACTGGTGGAAATTGTGTTCTAATCCCAAGCCAAAATTCTTTGAACAGTTTGTCGTGAAACTCAAAGTAGTAACTCAAATGGGACTTTTAAAATCAAATATTTAACACCATATGATCCAAATACTTAAATGCTAAGAAATAAAGGTAGAAAAGTACTAAAAATGTTTATTTTTCTTAATTAGACTATTGTTTCTGAAATCTTTAAAAACGCCACAGTCTTTAAGGTGTAGTGCTCTTGGCTCTGAGAAGTTTCAGGGCGGTGTTAATGGCTTTGCATGACGGTATGAGCAGTGTAAAGATGCACATTGTGTGTTCTTAGTCCGCACTGCCGTAAAGTCACACAGTGCAGCGTGGGCAAGTGCTGCTGGAAACACCTTGATTTTAATTAGTTAATTAATCCTTACTTTTATGTTTATTGTGTGTGTGGTTTATGTGTGTACGTGAACTTACAAGTGTGTGTGTTTTTGGTAAATGATTGATGACTGTCTTCCTTGGTTACTCTCCACCTTATTTTTTGAGATGATCTGTCACTGAATTTAGAGCTTACCAGTTTGGCTAGCTACTGGGATCTGCGTATCTCTGCCACCCCAGCTCCAGGGTTACAGATGTGTCCTTCCATAATTGCTTAGGGATCTTGTACTTGTGCACACCAACACCAGCCACTAAGCCATCTGTATCAGGAATCTTAAAAAGTTATTAATAAAATCAAATCCAGAGCCAAGTATTGGGGTAAACACTGGAAGATCAGAGAGACAGAACAAGCCACAGCTAACCTCACCTGGCCAACTTCTCAGCTGATCTTGTTTCCTCAGACTGGAAGCCTCTGTGTCCTCATATCGGAATGGATCTTAGCTGAATTGTGCTGCTCTAAACTTAAAAGCTTAACCAGCCAAAAGCTTAACCAGCCAAATGTTTCTAGTTTCTGGTTCTCACGCCTTATATACCTTTCTGCTTTCTACCACCACTCCCTGGGATTAAAGGTGTGAGTCACCATGCTTGGCTGTATCCTTAAACACATGGATTTCTGCCTCTGGAATGCTAGGATTAAAGGCATGTGCTACCACTGCCTATCCTAATTATCTAGTGGCTCTTCTGTTCTCTGACCCCAGATAAGTTTTTTAGGGTACACAGTATTTTGGGGAACACAATACCACCACAGCCATCTCTTTCCCCTTCTCATGCCTTGAATTCTTTGTGTTTGATTTTGAGTTAGTTTCTGGCCACTATATGGTCCTTTACTTGTTACCAAAGTTTTCACAACTTCTGTATTCAGTTTCTTGAACTCCATATGGGGTTGTAACCCACTTTGAGAGCTGTGGGGTTGCCTATTATATACAGGACTGCTGAGGCCTCAATCTATGTCTCTAATTCTGACCTCTCTCTGGAGTATGATTTGCATAGTCAGTTATTTTATATATATATGTAGATAGATAGATAGATAGATAGATCGATAGATAGATAGATAGATGGATAGATGGATAGATATCTGTTAAGATATCCAATATATTTCAACTTTAAATCCAGAATAAAGTTCCTCCGTTTCCTCTATCTACTGTTTCCTCACCCTCCACATTCAGTCTTTCCCATCCAAACAGAGCCTGTCAGTTCCTCAAATCAAACATCTGAATATCGTCTTTGATCATGCTTCACCTCATCAACCAGCTAGTCATTAAGTCTTACAGGTGCCAGTTGTACAGCGTGTCCCAAATCCATGTGTTTTTTTTCCCACTCTGTCTAGGGTGATCTAGAATTTTGTGATAGCTTCCTAGTATGACTCTTTTCTTTCTCCTATAATCCATTCTGCCTTGGGAGTTGGAATCATCCTTTAAACTCTTAAAATACCCACTTTCTTATTTAAAACTCTATTTTCAAACTTTGAGTAGAGCCCACATTTCTTATCCTTGATCTAAACACTATGACTCCAGTTTATCCCTCTAGTGTTGTTTGTACCTTTATCTATGATTGCCCATGGTGATGACCATACTGGTTTTCTTTCAGGCCCTCAAAGGAGCAAAGCTTGTTAACTTTGCACCAACTATTCCTTCTGTTTTGAAGCATATTTTTTTTTTTAATTATCCCTCCTGGGACTGGCCACTTTTCTGCATTCAGTTGTTAGGAAATCATTTCTAGGAGAGTATCACAGACATTCAAATTAAAGTAGCTACCAACTTGTGATTAACTTTATTTTTGTGTTTAGCACTGCTCCATCCTGTGGTGCTGTGGGAATTGAACCCATGGCCTGATGGATGCTAAGCAAGCACTTTACCCCTGAGTTTTATCTTTTGCCTTGATATTTCCTTTCTTAAGTATTTGTTGCTGTGTTTATTTCTGGCTCCCTTTAGTAGACTTTAATTTTCATAAGAATAAGGATTTTGCTTATTTTGTGTACTGACATAACAACTTCTACTTTGATCTTTGGTATAAAATTGGTATTCAAGCAGTTATTAAGTGAGTGTACATATATTTATATATTTTCAGGTAATTCTTTCGTTGTTAATATGGAGCATAAATATTTGTTTTGCATTTATTTTTAATGTGATTTGATATGTACACCTTATCATGTAAGTAAAGCACTGTGATGTAAGTAAAGCACTGTGAATCCACAAAAAGTCTCACACTTGTTTCTTTCTTAATAAAATTACTTATGCTTATGTAAATGCTTATTTTACAGTATGAAATGTTCATTTTAGAGGTGTGTAAATCTATGCTTATGTCCTAACAACTTCAAGGAATGTATACAGATCCATATATGACAATAGTAATTTTCCAGTTCTGTTGTGGTAATACATCTAGGGGTGACACTGGTTGACAGAATTTTTTTGTTTGTTTGTTTTTGTTCTAGTTGGCTAGAAACAAATTCTGAACATCTTGTAGAAAGGGACTATGAATCGTCTTGTAAAATTTGGAGTGGAAATGAAATGCTCTTAAATTTGTACAGAATGGGCATTACCAATGCTACTTTTCCCGTTTTGCAGGTAAGATCTTTTACCTCCCCATGACATTTATTTAGTCAACTACATGTCATTTAGGAGTGATTTAAAAAAAAAAATAGTAACACATCCAGGAAAAAGTTCAGAATTTTAAAAACTAACAGCTTAAAAGTTGCTTTAAAAATTTCTTATCTAAAGCTGATAATCATTAGGTAATGATACAAATAAAGTATTATTTAGCTTGAAAAAAAATAAAACTTTAAAGGGGTTATTCTTTATCCAGAGCTAAAAGCAACCAGTATTTTTAGGTTGTGAATGTTTTGTGTTAGTTATAGTATTTAAAATTTCAGAAAATGGAAAGTTCATATTTTGTGTACTGAAATAGAGATTGGAAATTCGTGGAGAGGTGGTTAGACCTTTAGGAACCTCATTGCAAGTATTGCTTTTGCACATTCTTCTGGATAGAGGATCCATACTTTTATCATAATCTCAAGACTCGGTCCCCCCTTTAGCTGGAGGGATAAGAATATTTTGTTGTTGTTTCTATTTAATTATCTAAACTGAGGGACTTTATTTTTTTTAAGAGCAGTTTCAAATATAAAGAAAATTTGAACAGAAAGCTCAGAATTCTCATTATAGTCTCATCCTAGTCCCCCCCATACACACACACACACACACACACACACACACACACACACACACACACACACATCCTGCCTATTGAGAGTAGAGTCATGGGATATACTTGTTACAATTGGTGAATCAGCGTTAATGTGTTATTGTCACCAAAGTCCACAGGTTTCCTGACAAATCACTCTCCATGTTGTATAGTTCAACTGGGTTTTGCCTAGTCGTCCATCATGATGGCATCATACAGAATATATTCACTATCCTAAAACATTCTCTGTATTGTACCTCTTCATACCTCTGCTGTACCATTTGACACGCATCTGAAACTTTTTGGCAAGCACTGATTTCTGATTCCATAGTCCTGTCTTTTCTAAAATGCCATATAATTGGAATCATACTGTATGTAGAATTTCCTGTAGTAATACGTGGTTAAGCTCCTTCCATGTAGAGTGTATGTGATGCACAGACCCAGGACCTGTGCATCGTCTATAACTTTTGATGGCTTGTTACCTCATTTCTTTTTGTCACTAGAAAATATTTCATTGCCTGTGTAGATCACGGTTTGTTTATCTGCTCACTGATGAGGAACATATTGGTGGTTCCCGGTTTGGGGCAATTATGAATCAAATTGTTATAAATGTATATCCTTGTGTTTTTGTGTGGATATGGCTTTTACTCTGAGGAAATGCTCCGATGCATAATGTTTGAGTTCTATGGTAAGAGTACTTTTAGCTTAAAAAACAAAAACAAAAAAAAAAAAAACTGTTTTCTAAACTGTCTGCATCCATTTGCTTTTCCCTGGATTCCTGTTGCTTCACATCTTCATCAGCATTTGAAGTTGAGAGCATTTGGAATTTTAGCCATTTTAGTGCTTGTCTACATAGTGATATCTGACTTCTTTCTGTTTTTCTTTGGTTTTCGGTGTAACTCAGTCTGGCCTTGACCTTCTGATCCTCCTGCCTGTACTTCCCAAGTGCTAGGATTCCAGGACAAGCCACTAAGCTTGGCTTCTCACTGTCTTTGAATTTACAGTTCCCTGAAGGCAGGATATTGAGTCTCTTTTTATCTGTTCACTTGGCATCTAAGTTCTTTGGTCTTAGTTAGGGTTTCTGTTGCTGTGATAAAACACCATGACCAAAAGCCACTTGAGTAGAAAGGGTTTATTTGGCTTACATATCCCAATTATGCAGTTCATTGAGGGAAGCCGAGGCAGGAACCCGGAGGCAGAACTGAAGCAGAGGCTATGGAGAAATTCAGCTTATTGACTTACTCCTCATGGTTTACTCAGTCGGCTTTCTTACACCTCCTGGCACCACCTGCCCAGATGTGGTCCACCTGGTAGTGAGCTGGGCCCGCCCGCATCAGTCACTAATCAAGAAAATGCACCACAGACTCACCTGTGAGCAACCTGACGGAGGCATTCTCTCAGTTACGACCCCTCTTCCCAGATACGTCTAGGCTGTGTCAAGTTGACAAAAACAACCGGTGTGTTTGCTGAGGTGTTTTTATACCTCGTGCTCACTCTTCAGTTTTTGTTGAGTTTTCGGAGTTTTCCATGTATTTTGAATACAAATGCTTGATTGGATAAGTGTTTACAATTATATTTTCCCAGTCTGTGCCTTGCTTTTTCATCTCATTGACAGTGTCTTACACAGAGTAGAAGATTTTTAATTTCAATGAAGTTTATCTTACCTTTTATTTTCCTCTCAAGTTACATGTTAGGTTTTATATCTAAGAATTCATCACCAACTCTAGATTTGCTCCTGTTTTTTGGAAGTTTTATGTCTTCCATTTTACTTTAGGTGATCCATTTTGAGTTGTTTTTGAGGAACTTGTAAGGTCGAGTTAGCATGATGTGCAGTTAATCCATCACTGTGTGTGGCAAGGGTTTCCCTTCTCCGCTGGATTATCTCTGTTTCTGTGTTGGAGATATTGGCGGTATTTGTGTGGGTTATTTCCAGGATTTCTGTTGTGCCCCACTCATCTGTCTGCTTCTTCCTTTGCAAATACTACAGTGTCTAGACTACTGTGACTTCGTGTTCAGTCTTGAGTTGGGTAGTGCCAGCTCTCTGCCCCTCTCCAATATTCTGTGAGCTGTTCTAGATTTCTTGCCTGTCCATATAAACTTTAGAATTAGTTTATCAATATCCAAAAGCTAACTTACTGGGGTTTTGTTTGTGATTACATTGACTCTATAAGTCAATTTGAGCAGACTGATGATATCTTAACAATATTCTATTTTCTTGGTGTTTAATGGGCTAGACCCAGGAGAGGGATGTCAGAAAGGGTTCTTTTTGTTGTTAAGATTTATTTATTTTGTATGTGAGTGTTTGCCTGTGTGTATGTATGTGCACCATGTATGTGCCTGGTGCCAGTGGAGGTGAGAAGAGGGCATTGGATCCCTTGGGACTGGAGTTACAGACAGTTGTGAGTTGCTGTGTGGGAGCTGGGAATTGAACCTGGGTCTTCCAGAAGAGCAGCCAGTGCTCTTAACCACTGAGCCATCCTTCCGGCCTTGGTTCTCCTTTTTTTTTTTTAATAAAACTAAATAATATTATATATTTTCTTTTTCTTTTTTTTTCTTTTTTTGGAGATAAGGTCTTACTTATGTAATATAATCTGGCCTTGAACTTGCTATATACCCAATGATGGCCCTGAACTCTTTAGCTTCCTTGCCTTTACCTTCCAGGTGCTAAGAGTGCAAGCATGTGCTACCACATCCAGTTTGTGTGTGTTTTATTTTATATTTTTTTCATTCCATTTTTCACTAACTGTATTCTTACTTTTCCTCCTGGGAAGATTTGTAGGCTGAGGGATTCTTTCTTGGGGCAAGAGTGAAATGATTGATAGTAGTAACCTATACTTACTCTTCAATGCATCTGCTCCTGGATTTTTATTTTCTTAATTTACTGTTTCCTTAAATTATTTAAATTTTGCTTATCAGGCCTGAAGTAGGTCTCAGTAGAGTCCCTGTGATACGAGAGTCCATATATATATATATATATATATATATATATATATATATATATATTAAGGGGTGCGATTGGGAAACAGACTCACTAATACAAAACAAGGTAGATGTGCTACAGATCCACTGCTGATCCAGCTTCTGTTTTCCTAAGGTAGATGGGGACCAACTGCAAGCCGCTTTCCGCCACCTGACCCCGTCATCTCATCCCAAAAGAGAGCATGACCCCCCGCTTAAGCGATCATGTTCACAGACAAGACCACGCTCACAGAGTCAGATACCCCAAAAGCTAAAGGAATTCCCATAACACTTCCCCTTTTTTGTCTAAATAAGAAGGTTCTAAACCTAATACAAAGTTATGTATAATTAGAACTATCATCAAGTATTGTCTAAAAGAAAGAAAAGATAATAGCATAAACAAAAATGGAACTACAACCAATCTGAACAACATCAAGCAAGAAACATATACTAAATGTCTAGGCCAAAGGTAATTGGCAAATTACAGAGATTACTCCATTAGCTGTCCTATCCTAAAGAATCTAAATCTTGTACCTGATATGCTCTTAGCTAAGATATAAGAGGATTGTAACTGTAACTATCTAGTCTTCAACTCCATCAAAGACCTGAGAAGGAAAATAATATTACCTAAGTAAGCAGGAAGTGCAAGCAAGCAACTTACGAAACATGCAAGGTATGACAGAAACAGCTGCCTGTACAGTCACCCAATGTTTCTCTGCAACACTGGGGCATCTATTTTTGGCTACAGGCCTAGAATATCTGAGAGACCATTTTCAGAAGCAGGAAAATTTGAAAGACTGTCCTACTCTGTCTTGGCAAGGCTCAGCAGTCGCTTTTCCTGTGTCCTGCTTGTCCAGTGTGCTTATTGTCAGCAGTCAAGGCAAGGGCAGTTCTTTGCCCAACAGGCCATTTTTGCCAAGAAGACAAATTTTGTATGGAGTATTTTTGATTCCCAACATCCTCTTGGGAATAGATCGGAACTACAAGGAGCAGTCATGTCTCATGTCAACAAAATTAAATGCCATGTTCTCTAGGTCTATGAAGTCTTTGAAGATTACCTATCCATCTGACATATATCTCTGTATATCTAGAAAAGCAAACTAATGTGACTATAAATATGACAAGCCTGGGTGACTAGTAACCTATAACTCATTAACCTATATAACTTAAAGACTAAAGCTTCATATAATAAAATTAAACAGTCTGTAAACAGATGTACAATATAAGTACAATGACCTCGAATTTGTGACAGTATACAAAAATACCTTAATTAGAAGTAGAAATGTAGGGACTGGAGAGATGGCTCAGCGGTTAAGAGCACTGACTGCTCTTCCAGAGGTCCTGAGTTCAATTCCCAGCAACCATATGGTGGCTCACAACCATCTGTAATAAGATCTGGTGCCCTCTGTCATACATGCTGTATACATAATAAATAAATAAAATTAAAAAAAAAAAAGAAGTAGAAATGTATAGTGCAATATGACAATATCCTTAATTTGTGTCAATATATAAAATATTGTATACATACATACAGTATGACAAATAGAATTTTACATTTGTATCAATACACAAAAATACTTTAAATAGAAGTAAGAACATATGTACAATATGACAAGTATAGTTTCAAATTTGTATCAATATACAAGTTTAAGATAACAGGAATAGAATAATTTTACATTTGTATCAATATACAAGAATCCATACTGATGCAATTTATCAAAAACTGATAGTTGCTAAATTAGTTTATAAGTAAATACAACAATCCTACCTTATTATCCTATCCTATCTATCCCCCTTTTTCTTTTCCAAAAGAGATTCTTGAGCCTAAACTTTGTTGTTCGATCCCCATACCTGCAGGAAATAACCCTAAGGGTATACAAAGAAATGACGTTTGGCAGTGGATATGTTTCATTTTGCAGAATTTGGAAAATTTAAATATGCACACCATACTATAGATACATTTTTCAGGAGTTCAATGGGCAACTGCTTTGAGTTCTGAAAAGGCTGATTCTCTTTATAGCTCTTGCTGTCCTGGAACTTGATTTGTAGACCAGGCTAACTTCAAACTCACAGAGATCTATTTGCTTCTGCCTCCCTAGTGCTGGGGTTAAAGGCATGCAGCACCACACCTGTCCCTTCTTAGTATTCTTGAATACCTGGATTCATCCACCAAAACAACAGCAACAAAAATGGATATTAATAAACTTTGTCATATGGTAGTCTCATTACCAGAGTTGTTTCGTATATATAATTCAGGCATTTAGGGAAACATAAACTCTATTAAAAATCAATTAGAATTTTTTTTGAATTTAGTTCATTGCTTCTGAAAGATGCTAAATATCACACCAGTTGCCTGAAAAAATTATCCTCCTAAATGCCTTTATTGAAGCATCCTCTTATTAAGGTGTCTTTGACTCAGAGGAGTATTTTCTAACATGGAAACCCAAACTCTATTGCTGGGCTTGGGTTGTAGGTCAGTTAGAGAATGAATGTTTAGTATGCATGAGTTTCATCCTAACCACCGTGAAGAGGCAAAAATAGAAATGCAAAATGATTTGTGTTTTTACATTCATGTATACTTGCTTCATTTTGGCTTGTGTTTATACTTTGCAAAGAATTTTCCTCTGTCATCCTCTCCACCCCCTTCATGAATAATATGGTAATTTTTTACAGAGACATTTTTCAGCTATTCTTCAAAAAGAAGAAAAAGTCACATCAGTCCATGGTAAAGAGGAAGCAATACAGATCCCTATTATTAGTGCTTCAACTCAAATAATGCTCAAAGGACTCTTTATGGTGCTTGACTATCTCTTTAGAGAAAATAGCAGGTAAGTGAGGACTCCTGTTTTGTTTTCATTCCAGCCTACAGGTCGGCAAGATGGCTCGGCCGGTCGAAGTGCATACAGTTTGTGCAACCAGAGTTCTACCCCCAGAGCCACATAAAGGTGGAAGGAGTGAACCGACTCTACCAGGCTGTCTTCTGACCTCCAAATGTGTGTTGTAGTGTGCACGCACACACTAATAAATGAAATTTTAAAAGATCAGCCTAATGAATGCCATTTTTAACCTAGGAGAATCTAAATGTTACAGCTGTATAGATGTATAAATTGTTCTTATTGGCACAGACTCAGATCAATTGAAATGAGTCTTTCTCATTCATGAAAATAAATACTGAAATCAGTAAATAAGTACACTTAATTAACTCTTCTTTGACTTTTTGTCCTCCAGTGCTAAGTTTAAGAATCTTCATTTTTGTTTAAGTGTAATTTGGGTCTGTATCTATCAGTATTTGAAAGTTCTTTTCTTGAATGTATTGTTTGTTTTTATTTGAGGCTGCATGTATCTCAGGCTGGCCTCAAACTCACTATTCAGAAGAGGATGACCTTGCACCTTTGTTTTGTTTTTCAAGACAGGGTTTCTTTGTGTACATCTGTCCTTGACCTTGCTTTGTAGACCAGGCTGACCTGGAACTCACAGAGATCCTCCTGCCTCTGCCTTCCTAGTGCTGGGGTTAAAGGTGTGCACCATCACCGTCCAGTTCAGCCTTGAACTCTTGATCCTCCTGCCTTCACCTCCCAAGTGCTGGGGTTATAGGCCTGTCACTGTTTATCCCCAGTTTATCTCTTGAAAGTTAGAGTTCTACCAGCTTCCGGGATTTTTGAGTGTTTTAAAATTGTCATGTAAATATACACCATTTGACCGGAGCCATAGGCACCATTCATTTCCAGGAAGTTTTGCCATTCCAAACAAGGATTTTACATGTATAAAGCAGTTGCTCTCCTTGTTACTGTTCCTGGTAATTTCTCCTTTGAGCTTGTTCTTTCTAGTTACTTCAGACACAAGCAGGCATGCAATATTTGTCTCTTTGGGTTTGACTTCATTTAGTATCTTTTTTTTTTTTCAGAGCTCGTCTGTGTAGAGCATTTATCAAACTTCATTCCTTTTTATGGCTGAATAGTATTTTACTGCATACATATGCCACATTTTTTTTAAAGATTTATTTATTTATTATGTATACAGTGTTCTGCCTCCATGTATGTCTACAGGCCAGAAGAGGGCACCAGATCTCATTACAGATGGTTGTGAGCCACCATGTGGTTG